GCGGGGACGGGCCCTGCTGGCCCACTTTGGGGTGAAACAGGTCCCCTGGCACCTCCCGGGGCGGCCCTTCGCGCCGCAGCTGATCAGTACTCCTGCCCACGGGAGATGGCTTGGGTGGGTTTGTGCAGCCGCGAGGGAGGCGATGTCCCTGCCTGAAGTTCTTCGCAGTTAGTTGGCTGTCAGGACAGTAAGACCCACGTTATGCGGCAAAGTGATCTCCAAGCGCTGGTCATTTCCAGCCGCTGTGTCTCCTTCATGCAAAAACTTTAGCGTGATGGTTCACTTGAATTATTATTTAAAAGAAATAAGTTGAGGTTTTACATTTTTCTCAAAATTCTCAGGGTATTACATATTAGTAGGAATTTGCGTTAATGCAGTATGCTCCCTGTGGCGATCATAATGAATAAAATAAGGATTCATTCAGCAAATATTTATTGGTCTTCTTTGTTGTCAGCTCCTGCACCCAGGTGCATCATTTATTTTCCCAGCATCCCTTTACGGTCTTTTGGGACAAGGTTTACCTAGATTATGATTAAGAAATGAGGCATAGTGAACTTCATGTTAAAGAGCTTCGTAACCCAGTCCACACAGAAAAGTAAGATGCCTTAAATAATTTTCTTCAGAAAAGGGTTAAGCATCTAAAAGTATATTTAATAATATCTGACTATTTTATCTGACATATCTTAATAAAGCTGTGCTTCCCTGATTCATTTTTCCCATCACAGCAGCAAAATCATTTAAACTACCTGTTTTTTTTGTGTGTGTTTTTTTTTTCAGTACGCGGGCCTCTCACTGTTGTGGCCTCTCCCGTTGCGGAGCACAGGCTCCGGACGCGCAGGCTCAGCGGCCATGGCTCACGGGCCTAGCCGCTCCACGGCATGTGGGATCTTCCCGGACCGGGGCACGAACCCGTGTCCCCTGCATCGGCAGGTGGACCCTCAACCACTGCGCCACCAGGGAAGCCCTAAACTACCTGTTTTAACAGTAGTGCATTAAAAAAAAAATAGCTTGCTTTAATTAATCTGTTGGGGGGAAACAAAGTGAACCACTTTGCCATTGAAATACTTGAATACTCAATATGGGCAAGTAATAATTACCATTGAGGGCCAGGTGCTTTATTATGTCAGTTAATCTTTACAGACTGTTACTTCCATTTTTCAGAGGTGGAAGCTGAAGTCCAAAGTCACTGTCCAGACTCTGGCCATTCTGTGTCTTTGTTTGTTCCGCTCTACCTCCCTTATTTAGCCAAAGTGAAGATGAGTGTACCCAGCTTCTACCATAACAGGTTACAAATCACCTTTGTAATGTACTGGTTAGTGATTCTCAGTGACTCACATGACCCCCCCCCCCAATGAAGGGTCAGTCTTTTTCTTCTAGAAAAGAGGTCTTTGTTCCTAAGTTGTAGTTCACTTTGAGAGCCCTGCGGAGTCACATGAACAAAATGTTCAGATACTGGGTAACTCCTCTCTGGTTTTGAAGTTTTACAATCACGTAAATATTTACAGCCTCAAGGATATTACTTGGGGCAGGATCCGTACATCTACTTTTCCCCATTTCTACTGCCACTGTCAGATGGCCTCATACTTGGTCTCCCTCTTCCCACTGTGACCATCTCCGATTTATCGTGCCTCAGCAGCTAGAGTGGTCCCCAAGAACACAGATATTTATCATGTGACTCTCACCACTCCTTCTGCCCCTAACCTCCCCTTTTGTTCTTAGGATCAAATCCACAGTCCTCACCCTGGCCTGTAAGGGGCCTACCCACCCCTCTGGCCTCAATGTGCTCCATCTCTGTCTGTGTTCATTGTTGCGTCTTTAGCACAGGGCCTGGAACACAGTAGGTAGTCAATAAATGCTTGTTGAATGGATGAATTGGTATTTTAGTGTCTGAGTTTGAGGAAAGCAGTATACATTTTTTTATGCTGAAGTATCCTCATATCCATCAGTATCTCAGTCATGTGACCCTTAGGCAAGTGATTTATTTTCCCCAAGCCTCGATTTCTACATCTGTGAAATAGAATAGTACCTTCTCATAAATGGTTGGGAAGGTTAAATTAAATAATGCATTATTGTACGGCCTGACACAGTAAACATTCAGTAAGTGCAAGCTATTAGTATCATTGCTGTTGGATTCTATTTCTATGAGACCCTGGGCAACATTAAGAGTTTTTATTTTTGTGACTGGGTATATGTATTTGTTATGCACATATGAACACCTCATGTACAGACAAAACAAAGTGTTTTGAAACTTTACTGAAGGATTTGAACTAAATTTTCTAGCTACTAGAGCTGCAGAGTTGAGAGAAATGGGTGCTAGACTTGTATTTTAATGTATCCCCTGCATTTTGTGGGCTATGATGGAGAAAGCTATAGCCCTGAGTAGGTGTGTGTAGTGGGGGCGAGGGAGTTAAAATAGTATGAGAAATGGACAAGCTGATCTGAGCATCTGCTTCCTGCCTCCAGACCATGATTCCCATGATAGTTTGGCAACAAACTACAAACCTTCTCTGCCCTGCAGAGGTAACAGACACTGTTTCAGATGGCTCAACCTGGGTGTCAGAGTGTCACTTTAGAATCCTAACTCTGCATAGTCTCTTGGGTATTCAAGTGGGCAGACTAGCCTACTCCACTGGAGTCAGTGGTTGGATGGGTATGGCAGGGGTTCCCCAGCCCTGCTCTGAAGGATTCTAAAGCACGAGCTGATTTGGGAGGTGTTGTCCTGAGCAGTGTCTTGCCATTTAATCCACTGTCTTATCCCTTCTAACGGGAGGCAGCTACTTAAAGTGACAGCCATTTGTTTATCTGTGGATGTCAAAGGTGCCCTGGGTACGTTATGGAATTCATAGTTCTTAGTTTTTATCCACGAGGTTGCTGAGGCCTAGTCTGGGTAAGGGAGTTGGCTATGGTCACAAAGCACCTCTGGGGCAGATGCAGGGAGAGATACCCAATCTTTGCCTCTCAGGCCATAACCCAAGGCTAGATGCCCCGAGGTCTCTTGTTTGCATTATGACTTTGAACAAATACAGGGACTCTTTTGGCCATGGGCCCTCAAACCCTAATGGCTACAGCACAGTGGTTCAGGGCAGTAAGGTATACTGGAACCCCTGCCTCCCAGGACATTTCCTCGGGGACAGGAGACTTGGGTGATTTGCTAAACCCTCTGCAACACCATTTGCTCCTGTATGTTTATTTCCTCACCTGTAACCTGGAAGTTAGTGGCCAGGAGTGTAGGCTCTGGTCTGTTGGCCTGGTAATCTATTTCTAGTTCTGAGAACTTGGCCAAGCTCCTCACTTCTCCGAGGTTGTTTTCCCTGTCTGTGGAAGAGAAAATAATGGTGTCTGCCTTCAAAGGGCTGTTGTGAGGTCTGAATGGCATAAGGTATGCAAGAGAAGCACCCAGCAAACATACCGTTATAATTCCTGGCTCTATTTCCCCAGGGTCCGGACCGGGCAGGTGCAGACCGCCTGGGTTTGACACCTAACCTGATCGCTTTCTAGTTCTGTGGCTTTGGACAAGCCTCTGCACCTCCTTGGAAGCTCAGTATCCTCATCATAAACGGTTAGCCACAGGACCTGGCCCCCAGGGGCTTGCCGGGAAGGTTAAATGCCCAGGAAAACACTCCGTGAGCACAGGCTCGGGCACACAAGAGGGCTCTCGCCTGTCGCGTTCACCGCTGCCGACTGCGCCTGGCACGGACGGGTCTCCCGAAATAGCCGTTGAGCCAGCGAGAGTAAGAGCCTGGCCGGCCGAGAGCCCGGGCTGTCATTATCATGTTTCACACCCCTTCCTCCCCGAGTGGCTGAGGACGCGCGAGAGGGGGCGCGCCCGAGTCGGGATTCCTCGCGGCCGCGGGGCCCGCCCTCCTTCGTTCCCTCCCCTTCTCCCTCCCTCGCTCCGGAGGAGCCTCGCAGCGCCGCCCCTGCCAGCCCCCTCCCCGGCCGGGAGCGGACGGTGGGTGGTGGCAGCGGCGAGCGGGCGGGCCGCGGAGGACGCGCCGCCAGCGCCTCCCTCCTTGCGTCCTCGGTCCCGGGCCGGCCGGGGCTGCCGCGGCGCGCGGGTGCCGGGCTCTGCCTCGCAGGCCATGGGGGAAGGGGGCGCCGTGGGGCGCCGCCGGCCCTTCCCCGGGGCGCCGCGGCGGCGCTGGTGGCGGCGGCAGCAGCAGCAGCAGCGGCAGCGGCAGCGCTGGTGGCCGGGCCGCGGCGGCGGCGGCGAGGGCGAGG